TTACCATTAGAAGATTTCGGTCTCTCGGTTCTTTAGTCCAGCACTCTCATTGGACTTTTTACACTTGAAATCCAAACTATTGGCCCCCTATTTCGGGGGTCCCCGGTTTATGCTGACTGCAGCCTCACTGGAGCCCGTGTCCCATATGAATGTCTGATCCACCTTCCACAACCATGATCCACCGATGAGTCAAATCCTGCGCCTCAAGCACATGGGTTCCAGTTGCGTGAACTTTGCCCATGATCAGAAACTGAAGGGGCACACGAGTTCTACGAGACGAGTCCAGGCCAATACACTTCGATTAACACCACGGCCAGATTATTATGGCACGAACGGCAGCAATCAGTCATTGGCATCCATTCATAAAAAGCTGTGCAAAAGTCAGATTTTCCCAACCATTCACGGCTCGACAATTTTAGTGATCGTTCTTTTCCAATTCAATAAAAGTTTTATCATGCGGATCTGACGAATTTACTGCATGCAGGTTATAGTATCGATTTCTGCAGTAATCAGTATATAAACGTCAATTCAGAAGAATTACTACAAGGACCCTTTCCTTTCTAAAACCAATGCTACATGTAGGCTGGCATTACCCGAGAGTTCCCGAAAGGCATCTATAGAGGACAGCAGAAGCCCAAGCTGGTCCAGGTGGAGATAAAACACCGAAACACCGACCCAAGAGATAAAATAAAGGACGACATACAGGGAACAGTTAAATAATCATATTCATGGCGGTAATAAAAATATTCCACATCACTGTCATGATTTTGTGTTGCTGAACGTAGAGAAGAAGAAATAACACATCTAAAAAATCTTGTGTGGCTTCGTGAATCTAATAGATCATGTTATCTAACCTGCCTGGTCATACGCTCCACCCTCCTAAACTCACAGGGGATTGGCTTGAGATTAACCACAGGTCATTCCTATGGAAAAACCACTGAGGTGACCCCATAGGACATCTCTATGGAAGAACCACTGAGGTAACCCCACAGGACATCTCTATGGAAGAACCACTGAGGTGACCCTACAGGACATCCCTATGGAAGAACCACTGAGGTGACCCTACCAAACATCCCTATGAAAGAACCACGGAGTTGACCCTACAGGACATCCCTATCGAAGAACCACTGAGGTGACCCTACAGGACATCCCTATGGAAGAACCACTGAGGTGACCCTACAGGACATCCCTATGGAAGAACCACTGAGGTGACCCTACAGGACATCCCTATGAAAGAACCACTGAGGTGACCCTACAGGACATCCATATGAAAGAACCACTGTGGTGGTCCTACAGGACATCCCTATGGAAGAAACATGGAGACGACCCTACAGAACATCTCTTTGGAAGACCCATGGAGGCGACCCTACAGGACATCTCTTTGGAAGAACCCTGGAGGTGACCCTACACAACATCTCTTTGGAAGAACCATGGAGGCGACCCTACAGGACATCTCTTTGGAAGAACCGTGGAGGCAACCCTACAGAACATCCCTATGGAAGAACCGTGGAGGCGACCCTACAGAACATCTCTTTGGAAGAACCGTGGAGGCGACCCTACAGAACATCTCTTTGGAAGGACCATGGAGGCGACCCTACAGGACATCTCTTTGGAAGAACCGTAGAGGCGACCCTACAGAACATCTCTTTGGAAGAACCGTGGAGGCGACCCTACAGAACATCTCTTTGGAAGAACCATGGAGGCGACCCTACAGGACATCTCTTTGGAAGAACCGTGGAGGCGACCCTACAGAACATCCCAATGGAAGAACCGTGGAGGCGACCCTACAGGACATCCCTATGGAAGAACCGTGGAGGCGACCCTACAGGACATCTCTTTGGAAGAACCGTGGAGGTGACCCTACAGAACATCTCTTTGGAAGAACCGTGGAGGCGACCCTACAGAACATCTCTTTGGAAGAACCGTGGAGGTGACCCTACAGAACATCTCTTTGGAAGAACCGTGGAGGCGACCCTACAGGACATCCCTATGGAAGAACCGTGGAGGCGACCCTACAGGACATCTCTTTGGAAGAACCGTGGAGGCGACCCTACAGGACATCTCTTTGGAAGAACCGTGGAGGCGACCCTACAGGACATCCCTATGGAAGATCCGTGGAGGTGACCCTACAGGTCATCCCCATGAAAGAGCCACAGCAGTGACCCTACAGGACACTGCTATGGAAGAACAATAGAGGTGACCCTCAAACTCAAAAGAAGCAGGCCACACAACGATGACGTCCTGTAGCTAACATTACTGAACAAGCAAGTAGCATACAGCAACACTGCCGACCTTCTGCCTGAGCCCGTACCTTTAACAGGTTTCACCCATAGCAAGGCTTAATCATGGAGATCGGAGGAGCCCTGTAGAGCATTTCACAACAGAACTCTCCATAACAATCTACAAAAAAAAAAAAACCCCTTTACTCCTCACGTTTGGATCCGTGAACAAAGGCTCAAATCTTTCTTGGCAAGTCTAGTATGGACGGGCCGGCAATTAAGACATTATGGCCGAGGAAATCTCTTTTAAACGTACATGTCACACAACGCTACAGGCCTACAGCTATAATCAGAAGGGACTGATGGGCCCAACAAGCGTCTGCTAATTAACCCCTTCAATCCCCTTGACTAATGAGATGAATGTGACTGAAGATTAATTAACAGCAGGCGCCTGTAACGAGAGCCATGTCTCCAGCAGAGGAGAAAACAGAGAAGAGACAGAAGTGACAGCACGGGTAACCCCGGGGGTGGATATAGAGCCCACGATCTGGGGCCACACAGCAGGAACAAGATGTAGGAAGGGAACTGTGTTTATGCAGCGGGGAGGGCATTCATTGTGTAACATCCGCGGGGGGACAGAGTGACGGACAGGCGGAAAGACTGCAGAAAGCATTTTTCTGGAGTCATGAAGCATCCATCTTGGTACAAGGAAAGTCACCAGATACGATCTCATGAATCATGTAAATAATTCACAAACACTGTATGGCTGGTTGAGCAACGCAGAGCTTGGGTACATACATTTTTCTTCTTATTTTTCTTCCATAATCAGAGGCAAGTGACAGCGTTCTTTAGATGCGCCGCCACAGTTACATGGCGACCCCAAGGGACCTCGTGATAAAAGTGCCTGGGAAAAAATGGCGAGTTGAGAACAGCAACCAATTCCTCATTTTTTTATACTCACACTGCAGTTTAGTACCAGTTTTTAGGGGCCACAGGCTTCAGGATCGAGTGGGAGAGGCACTGCTAAATGCACCACCACCACTGAGAAATGGCGTGATCCACCGCAAAAGAAGAGCGTAAATCACGCATGAAAAGAGGCGAGAGTGCTCCCTTGTTCTCCAGACCCTTTCATAAAGTCCAGCATGACCTTCAACAGCAAGACGTCAATGAGGGCCGCTGAGCCTATAATAACAGATCAATCAAACCTACAGCACAGAAAAACTACACAAAACACGGCCCGATGGTAAGCTCCTCAGCCCAGAACACATAGAGCTGGCACAGCCACAGCAGGGACGTTGCCTCCGGAGGTGCAGTTTATGAGCTGGAAGGAAAGAGCAGCACGACGAACAGATAAATCGTATCCCAGTAATGAAAACAGCGATTTCTGACATCGCTGTTCCATAAATCAGGTTTATGAGGTCATTTAGAAGCTGGCACAGATTTGCAATTCAAAGTAATTTGGAGGGAGTTGGGGCTCGGATGCCAGATGAAGAGGATTTTATTAGGGGAAAGAAAGACGCACACCCTGTGGAGAGAAGATGGCAAAGCCTTCCTTTAGGTAAAGTTTCCAACAAGCTGAAATCTGTGCAACCTGATCCCCAACACCTCTTCCCATCATAGGTCTGGATTCTACAACCCATCCATTGCTATGGAACCTTCTACCTCTTGTACGCGATATGGTGAACAGTCTGTGGACTCCTGACCATCATACCTATAGAAGCTTCTTGGCCATTTCACAACCAATCCATGGCCATTGATATAGAGTTGCCCTCCTTTGCGCTATAACTACCCCCATTCTTCTGGGAAGGTTTCCAGAACATTTTGGAGGGTGTCAGTGGGAATTCAAACCCATGTGTGGGGTCAGCTATAATGTCAAATGAGAAGACCTGGCTAAAACATAGGGCCTCATGTTGGGCGCCAAAAAAAAAAACAAAAAAAAACTTGGCTCACAATCTATGTTCTAATTCATCCCAAAGGTGTTCAAGTAGGTTTGAGGTCAAGACTCCCGAGTTCCTCCACACCAAACTATGCCTTTATGGAGCTCTCCTCACTTTTTTGGTAATGCTTCCTACAATATGTGTCCATTTGTGAGGTCAGGGACTGATGTTGGATGAGAAGAACTGGCTTGTAAGCCAGTCTTTTTTTTTTGGTGCCCAACAAGCCAGTTCTTTTCGTCCAACATCAGTCCCTGACCTGACAAAAAGGCACAAATTCCCACAGGCACTTCGAAATTATGTGGAAACCTTCCCAGAAGAATGTTTTTTTTTAAGCTGCAAAAATGGGCAACTCCATAATAAACAGCCATGGTTTTGGAATGTAATGGCCAACAAGTTCCTTTAGGTATGATGGTCAGGAGTCCTTTGGGGTGAATTGGAATGCCGATTGTGATCCAGGCCAGTTTTTTCCTCTTTTGGTGCCCAAGTGGCATTTCAATTCATCCCAAAGGTGTTCAGTTGGGTTAAGGTCAGGGCTCTGTGTAGGACACTCCAGTTCCTCCTCACCACGCTGGTCATCCATGTCTTTATGGAGCTGGCTTTGTACACAGGGGACAGTCATGGTGGAACAGAAAAGGGTCTTCACCAAACGGTTACCACAAGATTAACCACCTCCCGCCCGCCATATAGTAATATGACGGACGCAAGGTGGTTCTCTCGTTCTGGGAAGACGTTATATGACGTCCTCCCATTCTCACCACGCATGCGCGGCTCAGGGAGCGTGCAGTGCAGCGATCGGCTGTGCGCAGTGTCCCTCGGACACAGCGGATCACCAATCACGGAAAGAGCCGAAGATGTCGGCTCGGTCATGTGATCAACTGTGTCCAATCACAGCTGATCACATGTAAACAGGGAAATGCCGGTTATCGGAACTTCTCTCCTCTCGAGCTGTCACGCTGACAGAGGAGAGGAGCGGAGAGCTGGTAATCGGCTTTCCGCAGAGGGGACATGTACACTGATCATCAGTGTAGCCCCCAGCAGCGCCACCTGTCAGTGCTCATCGGTGCCTCGTGTCAGTGTTCATCGGTGCCTCGTGTCAGTGCTCATCGGTGCCTCGTGTCAGTGCTCATCGGTGCCTCGTGTCAGTGCTCATCGGTGCCTCGTGCCAGTGCCCATCAGTGCCACATATCAGTGCCTACCAGTGCACATCAATGCCACATATCAGTGCCCATCTGAGCTGCCTTTCAGTGTCACCCATCAGTGCCAGTCAGTGCCACCTATCAGTGCCGCCTAACAGTGCCAGTCAGTGCCGCCTAACAGTGCAATGTATCAGTGCTGCCTTTCAGTGCCCATCAGTGATGCCTGTCAATGCCCATCAGCGCCACCTACCAGTGCCTCCTCATCAGTGCCAACTATCAGTGTCCATCAGTGCAGCCTATCAGTGCCCATCACTGCAGCCTCATTAGTGCATATCAGTGAAGGAGAAAAACCACTTATTTACAAAATTATATAACAAAAACTAAGAAAAAACTTTTTTTTCAAACTTTTCAGTGGTTTTCGGTTTTAGAAAAAATAAAAAACCCCGAGGTGATTAAATACCACCAAAATAAAGCTCTGTCACAAAAAATGATACAAATTTCTTCTGGGTACAGTGTTGCATGACCACGTAATTGTCATTCAAAGTGCAACAGCGCTGAAAGCTGGAAATTGGCCTGGCAGGAAGGGGGTAGAAGTGCCCTGTAGGCAGGAAGGGGGTAGAAGTGCCCGGTAGGCAGGAAGGGGGTAGAAGTGCCCGGTAGGCAGGAAGGGGGTAGAAGTGCCCGGTAGGCAGGAAGGGGGTACAAGTGCCCGGTAGGGGCAGTGCCAAGGCAGGGGGGGTAGAAGTGCCCGGTAGGCAGGAAGGGGGTACAAGTGCCCGGTAGGCAGGAAGGGGGTACAAGTGCCCGGTAGGCAGGAAGGGGTACAAGTGCCCGGTAGGCAGGAAGGGGGTACAAGTGCCCGGTAGGCAGGGAGGGGGTAGAAGTGCCCGGTAGGCAGGGAGGGGGTAGAAGTGCCCGGTAGGCAGGAAGGGGGTAGAAGTGCCCGGTAGGCAGGAAGGGGGTAGAAGTGCCCGGTAGGCAGGAAGGGGGTAGAAGTGCCCGGTAGGCAGGAAGGGGGTAGAAGTGCCCGGTAGGCAGGAAGGGGGGTAGAAGTGCCCGGTAGGCAGGAAGGGGGTAGAAGTGCCCGGTAGGCAGGAAGGGGGTAGAAGTGCCCGGTAGGCAGGAAGGGGGTAGAAGTGCCCGGTAGGCAGGAAGGGGGTAGAAGTGCCCGGTAGGCAGGAAGGGGGTAGAAGTGCCCGGTAGGCAGGAAGGGGGTAGAAGTGCCCTGTAGGCAGGGAGGGGTAGAAGTGCCCGGTAGGCAGGAAGGGGGTAGAAGTGCCCGGTAGGCAGGAAGGGGGTAGAAGTGCCCTGTAGGCAGGAAGGGGGTAGAAGTGCCCTGTAGGCAGGAAGGGGGTAGAAGTGCCCGGTAGGCAGGAAAAACAAGTAAAGGCAGGGAGGGGGTAGAAGTGCCCTGTAGGCAGGGAGGGGGTAAAGTGCCCGGTAGGCAGGGAGGGGGTAGAAGTGCCCGGTAGGCAGGGAGGGGGTAGAAGTGCCCGGTAGGCAGGGAGGGGGTAGAAGTGCCCGGTAGGCAGGGAGGGGGTAGAAGTGCCCGTAGGCAGGAAGGGGGTAGAAGTGCCCGGTAGGCAGGAAGGGGGTAGAAGTGGGTAGGAAGGTGTGCCCCGGTAGGCAGGAAGGGGGTAGAAGTGCCCTGTAGGCAGGGAGTAGAAGTGCCCTGTAGGCAGGAAGGGGGTAGAAGTGCCCGGTAGGCAGGAAGGGGGTAGAAGTGCCCGGTAGGCAGGAAGGGGGTAGAAGTGCCGGTAGGCAGGAAGGGGGTAGAAGTGCCCTGTAGGCAGGAAGGGGGTAGAAGTGCCCGGTAGGCAGGAAGGGGGTAGAAGTGTCCTGTAGACAGGAAGGGGGTAGTAGTGCCCGGTAGGCAGGAAGGGGTAGAAGTGCCCTGTAGGCAGGAAGGGGGTAGAAGTGCCGGTAGGCAGGAAGGGGATAGAAGTGTCCGGTAGGCAGGAAGGGGGTAGAAGTGCCCGGTAGGCAGGAAGGGGGTAGAAGTGCCCTGTAGGCAGGAAGGGGGTAGAAGTGCCCTGTAGGCAGGAAGGGGTAGAAGTGCCCTGTAGGCAGGAAGGGGGTAGAAGTGCCCGGTAGGCAGGAAGGGGGTAGAAGTGCCCTGTAGGCAGGAAGGGGGTAGAAGTGCCCTGTAGGCAGGAAGGGGTAGAAGTGCCCGGTAGGAAGGGGGTAGAAGTCCTGTAGGCAGGAAGGGGGTAGAAGTGCCCTGTAGGCAGGAAGGGGGTAGAAGTGCCCTGTAGGCAGGAAGGGGGTAGAAGTGCCCTGTAGGCAGGAAGGGGGTAGAAGTGCCCTGTAGGCAGGAAGGGGTAGAAGTGCCCTGTAGGCGAGGGGTTAAAAGAGCACAATTGTTTATGTTGTATTTGTAGTACCTTTGACAGGAGACACCTGAACGCCATCACTGGGGGAGGAGTCCACAGAGTAGTCAGACAATAAGCGCCTCCATGCAGGATTACCATCCTCAGAATTTCTGTATCCGGAATTCCACATTTTTGTTCAGGAAGTTTGGGGAGCATTGCAGATGAAAACTCCATAATAAACCGACCATTCAGATTCAGCCTTCTACGTCTGGACATTATACAGCTTTGATACCAATTAATATATTCACCAGTTGAATCTGCTAACCACATAAACAGCGGCTAGCGCACACGGCTCTATACATAGTACACGTAATAAACTGGCACATGTCCACCTGACGCTCATCTCCACCCAATTTCCCACCTCTAGATCATAACTCGCATCTGAATGACTGGTAGAAAGATTTCCAACACGACCAGAACAATTCCCGCAATATTAAAAGACATTCCAAGTGCCATTTTACAGGGACAAGCAAAAATCTGGGTTAAAATATTCCATTTCTGGCGATGAATAATTCATAAGGGGATTCATTTCTGCATTATTCACAAACATCAAAGCAGCCAAGTCAAGGTGGCGGGCCCAGACGAGGAGCAAAGAGCCCTCGACCTTTCAAGTACAGGCCTTTGATGTGCCACACAATAAAATAATTAAAAAAAAAAAAAAAATTTGCCCCAAAGACTCGGTAGATATAGGTTTACAAAAAATGAAAAAAGGGAAATTCATTCTGCCAGAGAGAGAGAGTAGAAATAAAAAGAAAGACAAATCCATAGGACAGAAGACAATAACGGAGAATGAACAAGGAGATAATGGGGCGAGAGTCGTAATGGTGGATCAGTACGGGCTTTTGTGGGTACAGAGACGGGCAACTCACACCCAACGAGTCCTTTAAATATGTCCATTAGGAGGACACAGGTTGGAAGGTGGTCATCTGATCCTTTAAAACACAGAATTGTGCAATTTATAAGGAACTTTAGGTGGACGCAGGTTGACTGATGGTCAGGTGACTAGAACTGTGCAAGTTTTGAAGAGCTTTAGGTGGACGCAGGTTGACGGATGGTCAGGTGATTAGAATTGTGCAAGTTGTGAGGAACTTTAGGTGGACGTAGGTTGACGGATGGTCAGGTGATTAGAATTGTGCAAGTTGTGAGGAACTTTAGGTGGACGTAGGTTGACGGATGGTCAGGTGATTAGAATTGTGCAAGTTGTGAGGAACTTTAGGTGGACGCAGGTTGACGGATGGTCAGGTGATTAGAATTGTGCAAGTTGTGAGGAACTTTAGGTGGACGCAGGTTGACGGATGGTCAGGTGATTAGAATTGTGCAAGTTTTGAAGAGCTTTAGGTGGACGCAGGTTGACGGATGGTCAACTGATTAGAATTGTGCAAGTTTTGAAGAGCTTTAGGTGGACGCAGGTTGACGGATGGTCAACTGATTAGAATTGTGCAAGTTTTGAAGAGCTTTAGGTGGACGCAGGTTGACGGATGGTCAACTGATTAGAATTGTGCAAGTTTTGAAGAGCTTTAGGTGGACGCAGGCTGACGGATGGTCAGGTGATTAGAGTGGTGAAGAGCTTTAGGTGGACACAGGTTGACCGATGGTCAACTGATTAAAATTGTGAAAAATGTGAGGAACTTTAGGTGGGCACAGACTGACTGATGGTCAACTGATTAAAACTGTACAAGTTAAAGAACATTTTAGGTGGACAGGTTGACCGATGGTCACCTGATTAAAATTGTGCAAGTTGTAAGAAACTTTAGATGGACACAGACTGACAGATGGTCAGGTGATTGGAATTTTGGAAGTTGTGGAGAACTTTAGGTGGACGCAGGTTTATTGATGGTCAGGTGATTGAAATTTTGGAAGTTGTGGAGAACTTTAGGTGGACGCAGGTTTATTGATGGTCAGGTGATTGAAATTTTGGAAGTTGTGGGGAACTTTAGGTGGACGCAGGTTGACTGATGATCAGGTGATTGGAATTTTGGAAGTTGTGGGGAACTTTAGGTGGACGCAGGTTTACTGATGATCAGGTGATTGGAATTTTGGAAGTGTTGGGGAACTTTAGGTGGACGCAGGTTTACTGATGGTCAGTTGATTGGAATTTTGGAAGTTGTGGGGAACTTTAGGTGGATGCAGGTTGACTGATGGTCAGGTGATTGGAATTTTGGAAGTTGTGGGGAACTTTAGGTGGACGCAGGTTGACTGATGATCAGCTGATTGGTATTGTGCCAGTTGTAAGAAACTGGCATCTCCAGCAATGGCAGCCGAGGTGTACTTGACAACACCACCTGAAAGCAGCGAAGTAACATTCCGCACCACAACATCTTGTTCTGAGGATGTGCTAACAAGCCCCCTCCCTCTTTGACAGCTACATGCCAACGCATTTCACAGCTGGTAGACATAAAACCTGGCTCTCGTTGACAGCTTCAGTGCCCGATAACGATCAGGAACCAAAGTAGTTCCCAATCATCTGATCACTACAAAAGGCTTCACTCAGAGAAATGAATGGTGGCAGCTTGCCATGCATGGCAATGAGCCTCTGTTTAATACTGTAATTGCCTGGTACAATGATAGTATTAAAAAAAAAAAATAGATTGGCAAATTAGAGTTAAAGTCAAGATGCCTGGTGTTACTGGTTGTGCTAAATTCGGCCCTGGCCTCTAGGCTTTAATGACCTCTGGGCACAACAGGGGTAACAGTTGAACGGGGAGATAACAGCACCCATTGGACAACACAGCTGAGCATTTTTGAACAAAAAACAAAAATGGCCAAAAAAAAAAAAACCACGATTCACGCAACTTGGAAAAGATCAAGCCTGAGGCCACTGAAATGGATCCCGATTGGCTCAACCCAACTTTTCATTCGTTATTTTTCACCTTCTCGTTCAAATAAAAAATTACCACATCCTCAATGGGTCATGCGGAGTTCTAGTCCTGGGTGCACTACAAGTTCCAGCACAACCAATAAGCCGAC